AAAAAAAAGGAATGGAGAAAATCTATGTTGTATAAAAAGTATTCCAATCACCCTGCACCTTATGCGATCAATATGTGGAAGTATTCACTGACGCATGGCATGTGAACTCAACTTTGCTTCTCGTACATCATATTCGCTCTTGACTCTTCAGTGATGCGTCTTTCAAGCATATTGCTAGTCTGATTAACCGACGACGAACCCACGATGCGAACCTTTTCAAGGGTTACCGATGCACTTGCATTATCCATCCCAGCCGCTTGCACGACACTGCTATCTGAACTACCTCCACTCGCACTCTGCAACATCGTTTCCTGCTCCTGCTCCTGCTCCTCCTCTCCCGCCTCTGCTCCTTCGACCTTAATCACCCCGGCTGGATCAATCACACCATGGTCCATTTTCCACCTTGCAAAGTCGTCCCTACCACCAAAAGGCTCCCATATGTCCAACTCGGGATAGCATCTCCTGACGCTACTCTCTGCGCCCATTGCCATGAGTGCCATGATGGGATTGGTGAGCAACGACATGATTGCGCCATACAACAACTTGATGATGGGCGGCACCCACGTATGTGCCAATTGCTTTCCTCCATAAATTGGTGCCACAATGGCTATCGCAATCGGCCAATACCACCAAAACGTAAGCACGCACAGAAAAAATCCTTGTGCAGCAGTCCAGACCAATCTTTCGAGTCTCTGACGCCAACTGATCCCAGCTGCTAGCAAATCGTTCCTTTCCGAACCCGTAAGAACGGTACGAACAAACCACCACCAATACCCACTGATTTTACCTTTACCCTCTGCCTTTCCCATGTACAAAGGCTTGGCGTCCGCATCCACATCTTGCGGCATTCGCACACCCAACCATGAGCCTTGAGGTTGAGGCGTTGAGGCAAGATGTAACAAAGGTGGCCACGGACGACGCAAAGGTCCGATCGGTCCTGCATAAAGATCATGATGTACCAACGAACTCGTGATGATAAACGAAACAATCTGTTGGATGATGACGGTAACGCCCATATCTCCTGCCACAGTTTGCTTGCTAAATGTCCACAAGTCGACATCGTTCTTTTTGCGATACATCGCGACAGCTACACCAAAGTTGATACCACCCGAGATGATGGCGGCGATGAAGGACTGGGCGAAAAAAATATACCACCATTGACCGTATCCAAACGTCAATGGACCTGGAACCATCCAATCGCTCAAGGAAGCAGGGTTGGTGAGTACAACACCCGAACGTTGGTAGGGTGCTGCAAAGGGAATGGCACGGTGAAGCTTTTGCGCTTTAGGGTGGGACACAGAGTGTGGATCTTTGGCTGAGAGTTGAAGTTCTTCCGGTCGTTTGGATATGGATCTTCTCGGTTCTTGCATTGGATCCACAGGTGCTGATTCGGATAATTTGATCAAGGAAATGGATTTTCGGACGGCATCCATGCTAGCTCTTCCCTTTCGTTTGGTACTGTGAGACCGTCTGTGACTCTGATCCTGATCGTGACCGTGAGCGTGACCCTTGCTTTTGATTGCATCTCCATCATGAGTCGCACCTGTAACGTTTGCACTTCGACCACGATCAGGGCCATCAGCGTAGGAAAGTGAAACTCTTGGTTGCCGAACAGGAGCAGTAGTACCTGTCGATGGTTGGTTAGGTTCGTTATTGTTGTGGTTGTGGTTGAGAATGCCAGTGCGCATCATTGCAAAAGCCGAGTGTGGTTGTGCGATTGATGTGGATGGATACGTTGGGATGCGGTGACTAGAACCAGATTGAGGTAGTGAAGATGGGTTAGAATTGGATTGGGAGGTGGTGTTGACCAATGATGCTGTTGAGATTGGTGGTGCGGCGGTGACTTGGTCTACCTCTGTTGTTGTTGTTGTTGTTGTTGTTGCTGTCATGGTAGTGGGCTTGAATGTTGATGCTGAATCTGCAGTAGCATCAGGAAGCGGACTTGCATCCGACCTGACGTATGCCATGTTGACAAAAAGAGAGGATGATGAATGTGAAGGTATCGAACAAAGTAGCCCAAAATGTCATCTGACAACCAAAAGTAAGCTGCATACAGACAAGAAACGGCAGGCAGATCAGGGTCGTAGGGCTCGCGGTGTTTGACTTGTTACGTCACAGAGAAACGGAAATCAGCCTCACACCCACTTGACCGCCCAAAGCTTGACAAAATAATTTCACATAATGCTAACTTAGCCACGCTCCCTCTGTCCCTCTGCACCTCTATTAAGTTGGGCGCTTCTTAACTTACCTGTCGTATTATTGCTGCATGATCTGCATCCTACATTTCCTATTTTCCTTCCCTCCCTTTTGTGCAATTTTTGACAAACAGTCACATTCATTGAAAATGTGCAAGGAAATTGGTCAGCACTTTGACACTCTGCTTTAACAGTACATAAATTTACAGTATACTTGCTCAAAGTGGAGCAAAAAGCTTTTCTCCCAGCCTGAGGCCAGTTTCCAACAACATCTAGTTAGGCCATACTACAACCGCACTAAAGTACTCTGTATCCGTCAAAGTTTAACAAGCCTCCTTCCTTTCTTTCTTTCTTTCTTTCTTTCTTTCGAATTTGGCCCGTCTCGGTCCGAGCAATGGTTAGGTCGCAGCTCAATTTCAGACCGATGTGCAAGATCCCTTTCAATCTCATCCAACAATATTCTTCAACAACATTCTCCTCCTTTTGATCCTCAGACCAGTCAAGCTCGTACCTGCTCAATTCACCGCATCTCAGTCAAGCCAAAAAGCTATTTTGAGGCTCACCCATCTTTTTCTTTCAACAAGTAGGCACTATGATCTTCACCTCATCGCACAACCATCTCTTCATACATAAGAGCACCATGACCAAATCAGAAAACTATATTTAACTAAACAACCGAATCGAGCAAAGATATGAGATAGAATGATCATTTATGGCGAGCGCGAACCGTCGAACGATTTGTAGCACGAACCACGTCCACTGCGTTCTGGCCTTGTCCACTTGCACCTCAAGCCAAGGCCGTATCACTTCATTGAGCCCTCATCTAATTTACTGCACTCGATCCTCGACCTCCAATGGTATTTGCACTCTACTTTGTGCCTCGTGCTCGTGTGACTCCCTTCAACTAGCAACCACCTCGCCACGAGCCGCAGCAGCCTTGACTGGCTCAAAGTAAGCATGATTCTGTGCCTCCTTGGCCGTCAGCCTCTCCTGATGATCGTACCTAAGCAACTTGTCCAAAAAGTCAATCGCATCGTTGCTAATGTACCTCTGGTTTTCGCTCGTGATGAACCTGCTCCAAGGCTTCCTCTGATACCTGCCCAAAATGTCATCGTATTGAGGGTCGAGATCGATGTCGTACTTTTCGAGATAGGCGTACAGCTCGTCGGTACCAAGCACTTTGCAGATCTTGACGAGTTGGTCGTAATTGTCGTGTCCGTGGAAGAAAGGCTCTTTGCGGAAGATCATCGACGCAAACATGCACCCGAGCGACCACATGTCGAGCGAGTAGTCGTATTCTTGAAAGTCAACCAGCAGCTCTGGACCTTTGAAGTAGCGCGAAGCTACACGCACGTTGTACTCCGTGTAAGGATGGTAGAATTCGGCCAAACCCCAATCGATCAATCGAAGCTTTCTCTTCTCGTGATCGATCATCACATTGTGCGGCTTGACATCCCTATGCATGATCCCCCTGCTGTGACAAAAGTCCAGCGCCGTGAGCAGTTCAAAGATGTAGAACCGCACATCAAAGTCGGTAAACTTTGGATACAGGATCTTGAAATCCGTATTGTTGATGTACTCTGTGATAATACTCGGCGTCTTACTCTGAGGATCCCTCACCACGTCCAGCAAGCCCACAATGTTGGGCCCACCGGCAAGGTTTTGAAGAATCTTGATCTCACGCTTGATCTTCTTCTTCTTGACCGGCTTGAGAACTTTGATGATGCACTTTTCGGGCACACCCGAGGCAGAAGCGATGTTGACACCTTCAAATACTTCAGAGTATTTACCTCGTCCTACTTTGCGCAAGATTTCGTAGTTGTCCTGCGTACCCCATTGCACAGCGAGGTTGTCATAGTCCCACCATGGACGCCCGAACTTTTCGTTCGCGCCGGGATAGACTCGTGCACAGCTGCGACCTCCGGACATGGTTGTAACCAGGTGTGTGTGTGTGTGTGCGATGAACCAGGAGCTGAGCTGGGTGTCGACGACTTTTAAAGACGCTGCTCGGGGATGGCAATAAGAGGGATGGCTGGGGATCGACGAGCAGTACCTCTATAAACAACTGCCGGACAGAGTGAATGTACAATGTGTGCTGTTCACCGGTGCGCGCGTATGTACTGATTAAAGAGAGTCGCGTGCGAAACAAACAGATGAGCTCTGTTACAATCGCGTGGCTGATCCGATCGAAGTGAGCCTATGGAGTTGAGGAGCCCTGACTGGATACTGAACGAAGGAATGTACGACCAGACCCGAAAGATGCGATCTTAGCGCTTGACGGCGGATGAGATGGCGCTCGCTGTTAGAATTTGCGTGACGCCACGTCGTTGCAAGCAGTGCTCAGTGTAAGGAAGGTTTAGATGGAGGAAGAGGAGGTCGTGGCAGTATGCGATGGTTTGCGATGTAATTCAAGTGATCTTCTCAACTCAGCTCTTTGGATCTCTCTGTCTCTGTTCTGGCTGTGACACAGGCCAGCAAAAACGTGACAGGGGATCGGCACTCTTCTCCTTTCGCCTCCGTGTCTTGATTTTGAGATCGCCTTGGCTTGCAAATTTCAATTATCACGTTTCACACCCACTTTAGCACAATTTGCACTCCCGCTCAAAATATCTGTTTCCTCATTTCAGCCAGACGCGTTCCCCCGCCCAGCTGCTGAAGTGCACGACGGCATTTTAGCGGAATCTCAAAAATCACCTGCTTTCGCTCTTGAGCTAAGTGGCTTCGCGAGCGTCCAATATTTAGGTTTTTTCAATTAATCAAAACCTATATATCAGCAATATTCAAGCAAATTAGCAATCATTACTGTCCCGGCTAGCTCAGTCGGTAGAGCGTCAGACTCTTATACAAGGGTTTCCGAGATTCATTTCGGGGTTCATCTGAATGTCGTGGGTTCGAGCCCCACGTTGGGAGATTATCTTTTTGCTTCTTTTGGCTCCCACCTCAATTGCCAGATTGGTACTTGACGAGAAAGAGAACGCCAGCTTGTGAATAGCGCACATGAGCCTTGTGTGTAGCATGTTTCTTTTTACCGAGCACCTCACAGGATGCCAAGCTCTTAGACTCATAACAAAAAGAACAATGCCAAAGGAATCAGGCCTGTTACTTGCACTGCTACAAGAATCCATGAAAGCAAAACAACTAGAAATACAATTGCAAAACATATGCTATAACAAGAGTTGCTGCAATGGAACAAGACTGAAGGAAAGTCAATGCTTTTTGGAATTGGAAACTTTTGGAAAGATGATAGTTTTGGTAACATCTTCTGAGCTAAAATGAAGACGTTAAAATCAAGTTGATTTTGCGATGAGCGCTGATCCCCTCCTTGTTGTCTTTGAGCAGTTCCTGGGCAACAGATGGTGCTCATCACTGGGGTTGGGGTCTAAGTTGAAAATCTAGGGTGGAATCCTCACCACCGTCTCTGGGTGCAATCGAGTTCTTGCGCTGAGGGACCGTTTGCCTCAATATGCAATTGGTGCCAATGTTAGTGCCCCACCAACCGTAGTCCAAAGAGTGGGCGCTTGGCCCCCCCCTCCCAATTGAGCGACTGTCGCAATCGAGCCACAACCAATCCTCTCCGGATCCCCCACAGAGGAGCAGTCGGCCTAACATGTCCAACTGCAGCTGGCCCCTCCATAAGCAGAATACGGCTGTTGGCAATCTAACATTGTAGCGCCGTGATGGGAGGTAGTTACCGCAGTTGGCACGGGAGGTGATCGATAGTTCTTGGACCTTACCACTGTTAAGGCTGTAGGGTCTAGATACCGCGGGCGGCTACAGCCGGGATGGAGGCTACGGGTACGGAGAGGTCGTAGGCGGGGCGACACAGGCGGTCGGGGGTCAGAGCACACTACTGCGTTGCTATAGAGCTAACTAAGTAATACATGCGACGAGGTCCGGAGGCGACCTCATGTCAGGCGGGGGGCGGGGTGGTAAGGTACAGGAGCTATCGGTCACTTCCCACCGCGGCGTTACAATGTTAGGTTGCCGACGGTCGTATTCTACATACGGAGGGGCCAGCCGCGGTTGGGCGGTAGGAGGATCGTGTCAGGCCGACCGCTCCGCCGCGAGGGGTTCGGAGAGGGTCGGTCGGGGCCCAATCACGACGATCGCTCAATCGGGAGGGGGGCCGAGCACCCCCTCTTTGGACTCCGGTTGGTAGGCACTAACATTACCCCCCGGTTCAGGCCGACTGGTCCCCAGGCGGCTGATAGGACAGGAGGGCGAGGGGGGTCGTACTCCCTCAACCTTAATCCGCGCCAGGGACGCCTCTCTGTACAAGTCGCGACGCTCGTCTCGGCAATTTAATCGCGGATGCGCAGCAATGAGGCAATACCACCCACAAGGCCTTGGACCGGCGGAATTGACTGTGCGCCATTGCTTGTGCGTAGCTATTGAGGGGGGATATAAGGATGGGGGTCGACGGGTCTTCCTTCTCGATTTCCCCCATTCTTCCCCATTCCCTTTTCGCAATGTCGTCGTCACCAGCAGACGCTTCCATGGATTCCCCGGCCGACAACCCGTCGGCCGATATCAGTACCGTCCCCCCACCATTGCCTACGTCCGCAACGGCGGCAGCGTCGGCAACAGCAGCAGCAGCAACAACAACAACAACAACAACAACAACAACAACAATACCCGCTTCCGGAGGTGAGTCGGTCGTGGTTCCGTCGTGATTCGGTTGTGGATGGGGGGCCCAGGGGGTCTGGCAACCACCGGTCGGTGCCGTGGGATGGGTTACTGACATTTGTTCCCTCCCCCTTGTTTCGATTACGACAGATCGGCCGTCGGGGACCTCCGCTGGTCCCATCCGGGGGGTGCGTCGCTCCCCGCGTGCTCACCTTTCCCGGGGGGCCAACTCGGGCCGTCGCGAGCACGCCGATCCGTCGGCCATTCCTTCCTCTGCATCGACCAACACTTCCCTCGTCCTGGCGCCCCGGAACTCGATGCCGTGGTCGCGTCCTTCGGTTCCCATCGAGATCACTCCGGAACTCGTTGGTGATGGTAAGTATTTGTTCCATTGCTGTGTTGATTGGGATCGTTACTGACGTTTGTGTTTCCGTGGCCAATACAACAGACCTTGCCCCGCTATGGGCCGAGACGTGGGGCGATTGCTACGCCTGCGTATGCGCCGGCGTTGCCTGTGAGCGGGCGGGAGGCGATCTCCGCTGCCGTTGGTGTCAGGGGCAGCATGGGCAACCCTGTGACGCGGATATGCGCGGTAAGTATTTCCGTCGGGCGTCTGTCGCGATGTATTGGGTGGCCGGCTGACTCTTGTTCTTCCTTTGTTTCCCCCGACAGTCCCCCCACTTGGCGGCGCCCAAGGTCCCCTCCAAATGAGGGTTTACGCGTGCTTGCTTGAGAGGTGGAGGTCCGGGGGGGTCGGTTGGCGTCGCCGCCCCCACCCCAACGTCAGGTTGTCGCTGAGGACACTTGGCGAGATCCCGGAGGAGGAGGAGGAATTGAGGGAGGAGGTGGCTCGGGTGGGCGCGGTGGGTCGGGAGCGGGAGGCGGCTCGCAAGCGAGCTAGGTCCCGCCCTGACCGTCCAGCCGAGGCTGCCCGAGAGCGGCGCCGCACTCGGGCGCGGGCCCAAGGCCAGCCGGGGGAGTCCGCTACGGGCCTGGGGGACCTGGGTGCGGCCGTAAGGCGTGCCGAGTCCCTCTTCCACGGGGTGCAGGAGGGGACTGAGTTATTTCAACAGGGGCTGGCCGACGTGGCTGCGCTGTTGCTGGCAGAGTCGCTGAGGACCGGCGGCGAGCGAGAGCTCCGCCGGATCAGCGAGATCCAGCAGCTGTCGCAGAACACGCGACAGCAGGTGGACGTGGTCTGGGCGTGGTTGGAGGGCTTCCTGAGGGACTAGCCCCGGGGCCCTTATTCGAATGCATTTGTTTTTTCTGTCGCTTGCGTGTGTGTGTGTCCGTGTGTGGGAGTGGGGGTGAGGGGAGCCCGACCGGGTCTCCTAGCCAAGAGGTCGGGGACCGGAGGGGCTTTGGTTCCGGCGGGGGGTCTCCCGACGGCGACCGTCGCTCGTATCCGTGCCTAGCGCCGGGTAGGGGCAGGCTTGGTCGGGTTTGCGGTGTGGTACGCAGCGACCAGATCCGGGGCGCGGTCCACGTCTTCCGCCGGGACCCAGCTTGGGGGGTACCCTACCCAGGAGACCTTGTACTGTAGGCGTCCGGCGCGGCGGCGGGAGTCCAATACGCCCTCGACTTCGAAATCGGCGTAGTCGTCCTCCAGAGTCGTCGGTTGGGGGGCGTCGCTGGACTCCCTGACTCCGTCGGGGTATGGCTCCAGCATCTGTACGTGAAAGACGGGGTGGACCTTCCACGACGGAGGCAGGAGGAGTTGGTAGGCTCGGTCGCTAATCACCTCGTCGACTTTGAACGGGCCGGCGAGGGGGTTGGAGAGCTTGTGGGAGGGTCGGTCGCTGCGGAGGTGCTTGGTACGGAGGAGCACCAGGTCCCCCCGGCGGAACGAGACGTCGCTCCTGCGACGGTTAAACCACTTTGCGACGGCAAGGTTAGCTTTGGCGATGGCGTCCTGGCACACCCGCACTTTATCCGCCGACGGAACGTTGGAGGTGGCCGGGGGGATGGAGGGGTGTGCCCGAGGTGCAAATGTGAAGCAAGCTATAGCCGGGGCGATGGTTGTGGTCGCCGACGGTCTTTGGTTCAGCGCAAGCTGGGCTGTCGGCAGGAGGGTTGCCCAGTCGCTGTGGTTGTAGGCCGTATAGAAGCGGAGGAACAACTCCAACGTCTGGTTGGCTTGCTCGGTCTGGCCATTTGTTTGAGGGTGGTAGGCCGACGAGTAAGACCCTTTAATCCGGAGGGCCCGGAGGAGTTCCGTCCAAACGGAAGCTACAAACGTGGTTCCTCGGTCAGATACAATGGTGTCCGGGAGGCCAAAGTATGAAAAGACGTAGCGGTGGAGCTGGTACGCCAAGGTCTCCGCCGTATCAGTTTTGTTTGCAGGAATGAAGACCACAAACTTGGTGAGGCGGTCGACGACTACGAGAATGGAGTTGTAGGTGGTGCCGTTGGCAAGGGAGGGCGGGAGGTCAGTGATGTGGTCCATGGTAATAGTGGACCACGGCCGATCGGGAGGGACCGACGGGAGAAGGTAGCCGTGGGGTTTGTGACGGGGGTGTTTTGCCCGTCGGCAGGCCGCGCAAGAGGCGACATAGCTGTCGGTGTCCTGCACCATGGTTGGCCAGTAAAAACGTTGACGCATGAGATGGAGGGTCGTCTTGCGGCCAGGATGTCCTGCCGTAGGGTGGTCGTGCAGTAGGTGGAGTGCCTTGTCCCGTAATTGGGGTGGCAGGTAGACGTGACCCTCTGTGGTGTACGGGACACCATCGCGGACGGCAACGTTTGGGGGGAGGTTGGCCGCTTTCCGGAGGGTTTTGATCCACTCCGTAGGCAGGGGGTCCGAGGAGTGTACGCCGGCTGCCCTTGCAAACAAGTTTGCAGGGAGGAGAGTGGCTTGGTTGGCGGGGTCTGGGCGCGACGGTCCGTTGGGGAACAAGTCGTGCCGGCGACTCAGAGCGTCGGGGCGGACGGCCTCCTTACCCGGACAGTAGTGGAGGACAAAGTCAAACTCAGCCAGGTCGGCTTGCCAGCGGGCTTGGCGACGGTTGAGTTGTCGCTTCGTCTGAAAATACTGGAGCGCCTGGTGGTTGGTGTAAATGAGGAACGGTCGGGTGAGGCCATGGAGGTAGTGTCTCCAAGCGCCGCAGGCGTCTACGATAGCCAGGAGTTCCTTGTCGTGGATTTCGTAGTTACGCTCCGCCGGGATCATTTTTCGCGACCAGTATGCCACAGGATGGAGGGTATGCAAGCGGCTGTTGGGCTCGGCGCTCGCGTCGGCGCCCGGCTGTGGGTGCCACTGCAACAGCACGGCGGCTACCACAGCA